CAACTAGGATATATCACGGACATTTAACACCTTTTAAATGACCTATTTCATCTTAGCAGTTTTTAAGGATGTGCTAAATAATCTAAACCGAACAGATCCTACCTGGACTCGACGAATTACCGGAAGTGCATTTTGAATTTCTAAATAGGCAAATCGACAATGGCTTTTTAACAGGCCAATCATTGCTCATACTCAAATCCTAGTACACAGGTGGGGCCCCCGTAGAATAAGGATTCCGGCGCTGTTTCACAGACAGACTTATATAACCAGAGTTTAGTTTCGTCTGTGTTGCAGGCTAAATTGCTAGCCTTTTGCTATGGATTCATGAGCGAGTTTGTGACATCGGCAGACATTATTCTGAAAAATATAAACTTCGCTTCTAGGCCTTACATGTACTTCTCGGAACAAGGTAATTTTGATGATGATGCCACCTTTATTACGATACTTTTGGTTTCATTCAATTTACAGTCTTGCTGCCTCATGCAGTCTGCAGTCTGCAGTCTGCAAATGTCATACACCGTTATTATATTGTCAGCATTGACACTTTAATTCAGTAATCGAAAATTATATAAGTGGGAAACTGGTTTGCACTGTTGCATACTGTCTCATGACAGTGATTAATCAACTATCATCATTTCAGTCAAGACTTTTGTATTCAAAGCTATCGTATTGCCTCCTACAATGTGGGCTCGCTTGGGGCTATTCTTGTTGTTTTCACTTTTATGAACTCGTGACAAGGCAGTCATTTACAAGTAGAGTTTCAAATGTAATTTTCTATTGTTTAAACTTGAAGAAGCAGTTATCTTACTCGTATCACCATATCATCAAGACCTTCGCATGATTCTGCAACTGATCTGAGAGTTTTCACCATGTTTGAAACCCTTTTAAATATTGAGGTTCTGCAAGCAATAGCAGTTTGAGGAGTGTTCCTTCCACACAAACAGTTTTATTCCTTGCTTTCTCCCTTCAGAGATTTCGGGGTCCAAGTTACCCGAATTTAAATGATAACGCGGACTCTCCCACAAGCCGAACACACTTTCTGTGGATGGATTTCTCTGGAGTCCAGCCCAATATCTATGCCAAAGAAGTTCAAAAGTTCCCTTCGAAACGCTGTTTTGTCGCAGTTCTGGACAGTTTTGACTTTAGAGAACGTTTTCCCACACAACCGGCATCTTCTTTGCAAAAAACCAAGGTGATTTCCATCCGACTGCGGAATAACGTAAAATATACATGGCGTTACAAAAATCCGCACGTTAACTGCGCAACTGACTTTTGCATCTTTAAAAGCACAGCACTATGTGAAACTGCTTTGTACTACACCAAACAGACCACTATCAACAAGCAAATTTTATGTAGATTTCAAAAAATTTTTTTCAAAGGTCCAAAAAATGACACTCACCTTCTCTTTTTCGATGTTTTGCTCCTTGTCGGGCATTTCTTTGAGCTGAAAAACTCTCGTGTTCGGTCGTTTTACCTCCCAAGAACACACAAACGTTCATCGGACGGCATTTTTTCTTCACACCCCTGATTTCGCATTGTCTAAAGTCACAGCTCTCAAAGTAGTATGGGGAAAGGACACTTCTAGGTGCAGCAAAGAGCCAGGAAGTGACCTTCCCTCGTGTTTCTCGGCGTGGGCGCCATTTTGCAAATGTGGGTGACGTCATCATATATCCAGATCTGGTTGTGGCCCTGACTGATATATTATCTTTGATAATGATGACATGAAGACAAGCTTCTTTTTTATCATTGACTTTTGTTTTAAAATGTATTTCAAAATCGATTCTTATAAGATTTAAACCTGACCGGGATAATTTAATTTAAATAGTGAATTAGAAAAACAAACTTCTGGTAGTTCATTTTTGATGTCATCATGAAAATGGCCAACTCTGATTGCTGAGGAATTACTTTCTCGCCTTGATTGTACGTAAACATAGCCAAAACATCAGGCCAAAAGACCGCTGTACTAACTTATATCGTTCTTCATTGTTAGCAAAGCAAAATAAACAATTCCTGATTCTGAACACACAAAAGTACATTTTTTTCAAATACTCACCCAGGGTTTATTCTTTTCCAGGTTACTTCAATTGTATCCACCAAATATAAAACTTATAGACTTGAATGATAGTTACAGTGGGTCCCTTGTCATCTCGGTTGCTGATTACTTTCTCGCCTTGATTGAACGTAGAAATGCCAAGCCAAAAGCCCTGTCCTCTTTATCGTTCTTCATTGTTGCCAAAATAAACAATTCTGATTCTCCTAGTACAAATCTCACCGGTACGGACTGTATCCACCAAATATAAAACTATTGAATCACGGGCTTGTCCACAAAACAACGTCAAATTCTGAACTATTGATCACGGGCTCCAAAAACAACGTCTCTCCAACTGTCGTTGCCAAGAATAGTTGATGCATTAAAACCACCTTAGAAAAGAAATCTTTGGTTCATGTCTTTGGTATGATCGCACGCGGAAAAGTGCATCAATCCAGCAAATTATGGCACTCACCGTAGCTGTGCACGGATAGTCGTGCTAAAGGTATATGAGACTCTCTATGGGCGAAGTCGCGAAATCGCTTTATGAAACGACAATCTTAGGGATTAAGCCCCCGTCCACACGTATCCGGATATTTTTGAATCCGCAACTTTTTCTTTACGGATCCGGCTTCCGTTCACACGTATCCGGTGAATCCGGCATACGAATCCGCTACTTTCTGAATCCGCTCTCCAAAGAGGAAATTTTTGAATGAGTTATAAATCCGGAATCATGTGGACGCTCAGTCTAAATCACACTTACCCATCTCCTAACCGGTGGGGAGCGCTGGGAAGAGAGACCCGACGGGTTAGGGGGTGGAGACGTATGACATTTCAGACTCTTTGAGTGGGCGCCAAGAGCCACTTTTGTGGGTGCAAAATCCGGATATTTCCTTACACTGTAACGTTTTGCCCAGTTCTTTACCGTGAATATTCAAGACGGTGCCCAGCGCAATATTATCGCTTCTTTACTTCTTGCACTTCAGTTTCAAGTCTTATAACGTTTGTGCAGGTAAACCTACAATCAGGGACAAAAGTAGTTGACACACTTGTCTAAAACGAGTGCTTTTATCAACATTTTCATACATTTATTATTTCATTCTATTTAAACGCCATAAATCCCCCACCCCACCCCCGAATCAATGTTGTTTGTAGATAAAGAAAGACTTCAGGGTCTAAAACATAATATTGGTTTTGGGGGAAGGGGGTGGGAGTACTCAGGGGAAGGGGATAGGTATGTCCACTGTTCAAAAGGGAGGCATTTTATAGACGTGTCTCAACACGTTTGTCTCTCAATGTAGCTATGATTACTGTACACTTCAATTATGGCGAACGGCGGTTTGACATTTTGAAGCTTCTTTCCATGTGGGACGGACGGATTGGACGCCGTAAACAAGTCAAACGAGCGAAATATAGTGCTTGATGGGACAATTTTATCAGTGAAACAGACTGGCGATAAAATTTTCGCTTGAGCCGAAGATCGCTTTATTACAAATTAGCTGACGAACTGAGAGTGAATCCGGTTTCGTGTGGACGGGCAAATTCGATTTGAATACGGATACGTGTGGACGTGGAAATTTTTGAATCTGCAAAGAAAAATTTGTGGATTAAAAAATATCCGCATACGTCTGGGCGGGGGCTAAAGCTACGATCGCATTGCCATTTCGATAAAGTTTGAGAACGTCACTCGTGCGACAATGGCAAGGAAATTTTCCAAAAAGTGCGCTGCACGTTCAGGCTTTTTTTTCTGTTTATCACTCAAACCTGTTGCATGTTTCTTTTTATTTTCATGTTACCTTCGCCGTCATGGTGGTTGCTCGAGCTCCCCAGTAGGACCAGTAGCGTTACCATGCAGAACAACTATTAATATGCGACGACTTCGTTGAAAAGCTGACGATTTGATGAGAAAAGGGCGACGAAAACGACGTTCGCATTTACTCGCCAATAGAGAGGATTGTATATGAAAACAGTTAAATTTATTATCATGCCATGCTTGCTACAATTCTTACTAAATACTACGGTTCATTAGCCTTCATGAATCCTCCAAGTGAACTTGAGCTCAGCGTTTAGGTTCCCCACCTCTTTTGCATATATGCAGTCACTAATCCAAAACTGCTCTACAGGTAGAAAGCCCGTAATCTTTCCCGGGTATATTACGAATCAACAGTTGATCTAAGCCTCTATTTCCAAGCGAGCCTAAGTGCGATATGAAAAATGATTTTTTATTCTCATGTAAATAAAAGTCATTTTCACAAGAAAGATTTTGCACTCAGCCTCATTTTGAAAGTGATAATTCGGAGATGACCTATTTTTGTGAAAGGTTTGAACCCAGGGAATGACCCATTTTTATAATGACCAGCTCCCAGATGGCTTGCTTGCTCGATTGGTTAGAGCGCTGCACCGGTATCGCATAGGTCAAGAGTTTGAATCCGATTCAAGCCCGGATTTTTTTTCAGGCCTTTCTTGTCGCACCTGCATGAAGGGTGGACGCGTAATTTTCGCGCTCGTGTAAACGCACGTAAATTTTAGTCGCGTAAATAAAATAGAGACAAGGTACGAAGCCGTGTTGCACTTAAACGTGAAGTTGGGCGAGGTTCAACTTTTACTTTTACGCGCGATCCTTCATATATTGCCTCTCTTTTATTTGCGAATGTAATTAAATTTTTCTGCTCGAACGCACGTAAAAATTACGCGACAGTGGACATCCACCCTATAAAGGGCCTAAAGCAATTATTGCCTTCTCTAAACGTCATAAGGATCCAAGGCGCAGTACCAACTAATGACCGGTTTACATGGAGGTGGGGGACCACCCCACCTATCATGTAAATGACATCAAATTAAAATGAGAGATTATATGGACAGGCGGGTTACCCAACCTAAGCGGATCTCCTCACCTACCTGGGGTCCCCCACCACCATGTAAACAAGCCCTAAGCCATCAACCCCCCATTCTCCTCCAACTTTCACTCGGATCATTTTATATTTCTGGGCTTAATGCTACACTCACGTGTTTTAATGCACTTTTTCCGATATCCATTATATGGTGGGTTACAAACACAGCGATAGGATCCCGGGATGTTTGTACAGTTTGCATTAGCGTCGCAGTCATGTAAGTTGTCAGCACATTCATCAACATCTGAAAAAACAAAATGCCAGAATTACACATAAACCTACCTCCTACATTGGAATCACAGAAATTTTAAAAAGATGAAGTTCAAGGAGCAGTTCAAAGACTGCTTCCGTAAGATCGTTGCGATCGAGCGCTTACTGCTGTAACAGTTAAGTGATCATCTTCATGGTTTTAAGTGTAAGTATAACTAGGGAAAGAGTATCAAAGGGAGCTGTAAGCCCCGACTCTATAAAGGCGCGTCATAAAAAAAATTAATCGGAAAATGTTTGAAAATTTTTGAATAAGAATGACTGAGACCAGGTTATATGAGCCCGCGAGACTGAGCACCCCACCGGCACCTAAATTCTTGTTTTCTCTTAAACCGCTGGACGCCAGAACCTGGTTAAGATCAATGTTATCTAAGGTCTTCCCAAATTTTTACCTTCACAGATGCTCCCATTGCCTGTGTAGCCAGGCCTGCACGTGCAGTTGTAAGAGCCAGCTGTGTTTGTACAATTCGCATTTTTGTGACAATCATGGCTTCCTTTTTCGCATTCATCGATGTCTGAGTAAGGAAACGAAAAAAACAAGAAATGAATATAAATTAAGTCTTATTATGACATTTATCAGCAAGTTTTACCTTTACAAATGCTCCCATTGCCTTGATAGCCAGGCCTGCACGTGCAGTTGTAAGATCCAGGAATGTTGGTACAGTTGGCATTTATGTGACAATCATGGCTTCCATCCTTGCATTCATCAATTTCTGGAGGGAGTAGAAAATATTAAGTTACAACGATAACATAACTATATACTTGCAGGAACAAGAAGTGAAGGCTTGGGTAGCTAATTACAAATGCTCCCATTTCCTGTGTAGCCAGGCCTGCACGTGCAGTATATGAGCCCTAACCTGAGATCAGGCCCAATTTGAGCGGTTCTCATACATTCTCTCTAACGGCTACCGCTGAAATTGGGCCTGATATAATCTATTACAAGTTTGTGCTCGTTACGGTCAGATTTTGGCCGTAACGCTGATTGGCTGTTAGAACAATGCCACAAGATCTGATTGGCTGTCGGAAACGCCGGAAGTTGAAAGCACTTATTCCTCGCGTGGTTGTTTTCGTGAATGATCCGTCGTCGGTGGAGAGATGGATCGATTTTGCTGTCTTTTTATTGTTTTATGGTCTTATGGTACGAAAATATGCCTTAATATGTGCCATGGAAATTCAGAAAATTCATATGGTTGTTCATATCTTCTCAGGATTTGCTTTATTTACGGAAAGTGAGTGTATCGCGGAGTTGAATCCCTCTGCAAGTTGTTGACCGCTAACAAGATGCATTTTGATTAACAGACAAAAGCTATTTTTTAAGTCAGCCAGTCTGCATTTTTCCCACGCGTGAAAAATTTGCATACTAGAAAAACAAGCAACGGAAGTAATTCTGATTGGCTGATTCGGCAAATGTCAATCAATCAAAAAAGTGGGCGGCAGACATTTCGTGGAAGGTTGGTATCAGGCTCTCTTTTCGTTTCGTCTTGCCCTCCGAAATGTAATTTTCAAAGCGAAACGAAAATAGAGCCTGATCTCAGGTTATATAAGCCCGGAATGTTGGTACAGTTCGCATTTACATCACACTGATGAGTTTTATCCTTGCATTCGTCCAGGTGTAATATAAAAAAAAAAACAAGAAAACAAGCATAAATCCGGGGGAAACCCCCTACAATGACCTATACGGGGAAGCTCCGGCCGAATTGCGAAATGGGTACCTTTTCCAGGCTTCAGGTGTGGTTGAAGTATATGAGAGGATAGGGAAATCTGTGTCATTTTAGTCTGTAAAAAGACCTAAAAGGGCTAACAGAAGGATTTTATGGCTGTGAAAAGGTCGAGACATTTTCCTGGTTTTCTGATTTATTCACAGTTTAACGACAGTGCTTTTACGGCAGCTAAAAGTAATGTAAAGTTCCAAATTAGGTATTTGAAAGGGGTACCATTTGCCAATTGAAGGTACTGTGTAAGGGACGTCAGGGTACCTTTTCTCTCAAAAGAAATATATAGAAAGGTAAGGAGCTTGACCTCAAGGCGGAGCTTTACAAGATAAAACTTTGCTGCGGAATTCCTCCTACCCCGGGGGGCACAGATGTTTTCTATCCCAGACTGCAGGCATTCGCAAAAGAACTTCTTGTCCGTATATCCAAAAAAACACTTTTCATTGTTCAAGTCTGTAACAGGTGACCATCTTGGTTTTAAGTGTAAGAATAACTATGGAAAGAGTATCAAAGGGAGTACTACCAAAGGGAGCTATGAGTCCTGACTCTTTAAAGGCGCATCACAAAAATTAACCGGCAAATTTTTACCTTTACAAATGCTCCCATTGCCTGTGTATCCAGGCCTGCATGTGCAGTTATAAGAGCCGGGTGTGTTTGTACAATTCGCATTCATGTGGCAATCATGGCTTCCCTTTTCGCATTCATCGATGTCTGAATAAGAAAAAGAAAAAAGAAATAAATATAAATTAAATCTGATCACGACACTTATCAGCAAGTTTTACTATTACAAATGCTCCCACTGCCTTGGTAGCCATGCCTGCATATGCAGTTGAAAGAACCAGGAATGTTGGTACAGGCCCTTGGAAGTAGTAAGCGCAAGAAAGCAGGGGACACCACCCGTTTTTTTCTTGCTCCCAAATACTTCCCTGCGCCTGCTACGCATATTTACTTCCATCCTTGAATTCATCAATTTCTGGAGGGAGTAAAATGTTAAGTTACTGAGAAAACTAAATTATTTGCAGAAAAATGAAGAGAAGGTTTGGATAGTTAATTATACCATTACAAATGCTCCCATTTCCTGTGTAGCCAGGCCTGCACGTGCAGTTATATGAGCCAGGAATGTTGGTACAGTTCGCATTTTTGTGACAATCGTGGCTTCGCTTTTCGCATTCATCGATGTCTGAGTAAGGAAACGAAAAAAACAAGAAATGAATATAAATAAGTCTTATTATGATATTTATCAGCAAGTTTTACCTTTACAAATGCTCCCATTTCCTGTGTAGCCAGGCCTGCACGTGCAGTTATATGAGCCAGGAATGTTGGTACAGTTCACCTTTACGTCACACTGATGAGTTTTATCCTTGCATTCGTCCAGGTCTAAAAAAAGAAAAGAAAACAATATCGGATCAATTAGCCACCAACCTCGTACATCGTATATAAACCATTGCCGACATTCAACGCAAGAAAATAATCAAGTTTGTAGCATGCTGATTGCTTAAGGGAAGACTGATTGTTTCACTCATTGCGAGAAGAGCAACATAAATCCCGGGGGGTACCCCCTGTAATGGCTTATACGGGGAAGCTTCGCCCGAATTGCGAAAAAGGTACCTTTTCCAGAGTTCAGGTGTATGAAAGGGTTGGGATTTCAATAGTTGAAGTATAAGAGAGGGTAGAGAAATCTGTGTCATTTCGGTCTGTAAAAGGACCTAAAAGGGCTGACAGAAGGATTTTATGGCTGTGAAAAAGTCGACAAAATTTCCTGGCCAGTTTTGTGATTTATTCACAGTTTAAAGACAGTACATTTACAGCAGCTAAAAGTAATGCAAAGTTCTAAAATAGGTATTTGAAAGGGGTACCATTTGTCAATGGAAGGTACTCATGGGTAAGGGAGGGCTATCTTTTCTCTCAAAAGAAATATATAGAAAGGTAAGGAGCTGGACCTCAAAGCGGAACTTCACGGGTGGGGGGGCACAGATGTTTTTTTAACCCTGACAACGTTGATTATTTCTTATTAAGCAACATTCACTTGTTCTCTATTTCTGGGTAGGATACACTTTCGTTTTTCTAACCATCTCGAAGCAACAGCCGGCGAGCCAGCTGGCGATTCCGTGTATGAGAGACGTAGACGTAGACGTATTTCCAGTTTGTTTCTGCCCGAAATGTATTCTTTGCGGCGCAGTCAAGCGAAAACAGGACTGAATATGTCTGCGTTTGCTGGCCACATAATTACCTGTTTCGCAGAGTTCTCCCGTGTAACCAGACTGGCATTCGCAAAGAAACCCCTTATCCGTATATCCAAGGAAACACTTTGCATTGTTCAAGCAAGGTTTGTAGGCACAAATATTCTAGTGAAAATGAAAGCGTAATTTAGATTTCATTAAATTTTAATATTATATTGTAGACTTCGAGCAGTTCCCTTTTCAGTCTGTCAAATCGAGACTTGGCAGAGCTCGAGAGAGCGAATCAATCGAAAAGGAGGGTCTGAATGGGGTTTAATGTTTGGTGTTATTTGCCCATAATTTTGAGTGTTTGCTGTTAAATTAGCCAATTTTTTAATGTTTACTGTTTCCGAAGAAATACTGTCAAGTGTTTGGAGGGTTCATCGGACATCTTCGGCAATGATCGGACCTCTTCGTTAGTCTTCGGAAATCTTCTGAAATAATCAGGAATTGTCGTGAAATGGCCAAAAACTCCTTGATATCCTAAAAAATAATATTGGCCTTTTGGAGCCGTTTTTGCTTCTATCTGGGAAAAAATTAGTTTCAAAGAATCTTTATTGTTAGTGTTAAAATGCCTAAAATTTAACCATTTCATGTTACAAAGCCAAAAAATGAAGTGTTTAATTTTATCTAGGTACCCCCCCATTCAGACCCTCGAGAAGGGAACTGGAGAGAGGCTTGTCCTTTTCCGTCTTCCTCCTTGCGTGTTGGCCTCGCACGCTCGCTCACACGTAACATTCTCGTACGCGCGACAATCCTTAGAGACTGCAAGTAGTCAATGCTCCCTATTACCATTCTCATCATTATTTTATGTCTTCTTCATCGCCGCTCGACAGATCTTTGGCTAGACTTTGTAAAAGCCCGTTTTGGTTGGTTCCCCCTGTCTGGAGGGAAGACGGGCAAGTGCAGTCTTCGGGAGAGAACCCAAGACACGAGCGGTCACTATAACAGTTAACCGAAACAGGAAGCCGCATATGAAAAGTCTCTGACACCCAAGGGTCGTCATCACTATCTTTTGATCGTCATTGTCATCATCACTTCCATAGCTAAAACTTCACTTTTTGGGCTATGAACAGTTAAACGCTTACCACAAGATAATTCACAACCATTGCCGTGATTAATTTATTCCAGTGAAATTCGCCCTACCTGTGTACCTTTATACGTCCAACCTGCTCTTGGTTTTAAATCATTTGGATGCTGTATGTGATCTGAGTTACACAACTCACAGACCCTCATATCATTAATTGCTGGACCAATGTTGATTGCCACGCACTCTCTCCGGTAAAGACATTCCGTTTCGCAAGATTTGCTTGCTCCAATGGAAAGGTTTAAAAAGGTGTGGCCTTGAAGATACATATAAAGGCCATACTCCCGATCAAAAAACTTCAAATACCGAATGTGGCCACAGATATCTAAAAGATACATTAAAAAAAAATAGCAATGTTAACGTCTATTTTATTTTATTTATTTTATTAGCTTTGCCCTGAAGAATACAGAAAAAAAAAAGACGCTGAAGATATGCAAATACTAGTTATAAGAACGTAACAATACACTAATAATAACTTAAATATTTGGGCAGGGACACCGCAACAGCTAAAGCCAATTACTGCGGACCCAAAAAATAAAAGGATATAAAGGAGCAATTTAAATCACATGCAGCAGCTAATTTCTTGGTCTAAAAACCTGGCTGTGTTACATTTCAAGCAAATACTTTTGAAGCCCCTTGGAGAGTCCGGGCCATAGTTTATTGCTAGAACCCGCGAGCAATAACGGTAAAGAACAGATTTAAAGTTCTCAAAAGTAACATTATCTAGGTCAAGTCTAGTAATAGGCAGGTTCCAGATTCTAGTGGTTCAATTGAAAAAAGATTTCTGAAAGGTAGCAGTCCTGCATTTTTTAGGCACAAAAGATTGACAGCTCGTTACAGATATACGGGTCCTTCGCGCGCATTCTCTGACGTAGGGAACAACAGACGGATCTAAGTGAATCATATTATGCGTAGCCTTGTAAAAGTATACTAGATCTAGTAACTCGTGCCAGTAGCACACTGGAAGTAGGTTTACAGACATTAGTCTTTCTTTGTAAGAGATATTTGTTAAAAAAGGCAAGCAAAGAAAGAATTTGATGGCACGTCTTTGGATACTTTCAAGTTTAGAAATTAGTTCAATGCCTTGGTGCGCCCAGATCTGGGTTGCGTAGCCAAGATGAGCACGAACAAGCTCGGGGTACAATGTGCGCCTTACGGAAGTACTGTGAATAAACCTAGAGTTCCTCCTAACGAAACCTAACAACTTGTGCAGCTTGGTGAGAGACTTGGGCGTGTCAAGTCAAGTCACAGTCCAAGGAGATGCCAAGGTCACGCTCTACGTCACAGGACTTGATGGTACTGCCGTTAACCTCGTAGCTCGTACAGATGGGCTTGCGCTTCCTCGTAATGGTCTGAAGCTTGCATTTCTTATCATTGAAGGCTAGGCCAGAGGCAGCGGACCATGAAGACAGATTATCCAGATCTTGTTGGAGAGCGGCGCCATCATCCTCAGACATCACTACCTTGTATACTTTAGTGTCATCTGCAAACATTGCCACTTTGCTATTGAGGGTAGAATCTGAAGGTTGTTCACATATAACAAGAAAAGAGCAGGTCCGAGTATTGAACTCTGAGGGACTCCAGAGGTGACAGGTAGATCGCGTGATGTCGCTTCTAGTACGGTGACGCGTTGGCGCCTGCCACAGAGATACGCGTGAAATCATGTGAGCAGGATCCCTCCGAAGCCAGCATCCCGCAGTTTTTCCATAAGGAGGTCATGTCTAACCTTATCAAAGGCTTTGGACATGTGTAAATACACACAATCTACTTGACCAGCTCTATCAAGAACAGCACCGATGTAATCTAGGGTCTCTAGTAGATTTGTGACACATAAGTGTCCACTCCGAAACCCGTGCCGACAGTCCGCAATCAGATCTTCTAATCGGTCATTGATGCGATTCAAGACACAGCGTTCGATGACTTTAGAAATAATGCAAAGTAGGGAGATAGGCCTATAGTTTTCAACATGATCGTTTTCATCCTTCTTATAGACAGGCACTACATTGGCCAATTTTCACTCAGACGGTATGTAGCCTTCCCCCAGAGACCTGTTGAACAGCTTGCATAGTAATGGAGCAATAGTAGTCGCGGTTTTCTTTAGGATTCTTGCCGAGATCTCATCTGGACCAGTGGCTTTGTTTGGGTCTAGTGATTTTAGGACAGCCTCAAGTTCGCCGACGTGCAACACAATATCGCTAAAGGGGGGGAGGGGGGTCTGCGGCAGGGAATTTCCCTGCGCCTTTATCTACTTTGTCCTCTTGAAGAACGGAGAACACTGAAGTGAAATAGTTATTAAAAATGTCTGCGATTTCTTCTGGCGTGTCAGCGGTTGCACATAGGTTACCAGTTGCCATGGAGACACTTTGTGGTATGTTGTGCGACTTTGAGCGAGTTGTTAATACTGACCAGAGACGTGATTGATCTTGAACTCGATGTTAGCAGACTCAAAGAACTCTTCCCTGCTTTCTTTGATCGCGCGCTTTACTTGTGAACGCAGAGTTTGAAATTTGGATTTTAGTGACTCCGACGGGTGCAATTTTAGTTTCTTGCGTACGGTTTCCTCTTTCTTGATAAGATTGATAACGGCACCTGTGAGGCAGGGCACAGGGTTTCGACCTCTCAATCGCTTGGTTGGAATATTGTCTTTTACCGCAGCAAGAAATAGGTCTGTCCAGGTTTGCCAGCAGCTTTCAAGGTCGCCCTCACCCACCACACTTGTAAGATCAACTGAACGCAGAGCGTCTCAACCACTTAGTCTTTTTTTAATTATATTCCACTACTAATTTCACTCACGTTAATTCAGAGAAGACGTTAAAAAAACATCAATGCACTCTTTCGTTCTCCCACGCTCCTCGACCGTGATCGTTTATAAATGAATAACCGATCCTTTGCAGACTGCTTGCTGGACAAAAACATAACACCACCAACAGCAACAACAACAAGAACAGGTTACCATGAATGTTAAGCAGCTAAATATTTCACAATGAAATTTAAAAAACTTTGGAACTAAAATGGAGTATCTGTGAAATGGTCAGAAGCTATCGATCGTACACTACATCGTAATCTAGCCCGCCTTGGCTTTTTCTCTTATACTTTTTGTTTTTAGGGCACTGACATTATAAGTAATACTGTATCAACAACTTCAGCCAAAAATCATGGGACCTGACTGGTTCGTTTTGCTTAGCATAGACTGTGTAGTGCTCTCCCATGTTCAGTTTGAACTTTTTTGCAAATGGGAGGCAGCGAAGGTTATAATAGTAAGCTGTAAGTTTAGTAAAGTGTAAGGTCTTGTTTATGAACAAAATTGAAAAAGTCCTCCTTAAAGGTTTTTTTGAAAATATTACACTTAGTAGCAAAACGAGAATGAAGGTGAATGTATGGTGTGTGCATATGTTAACAACTGGCTTTAGTCATACCTTGATTTGCACTAGCAATGCAGCTTAGCCAAGCTCCCCAGAGAACACAGGCCAAGAAGAGTGCTTGAACAGCAAAGCAACAACCAGCCATGCCGGGTGCATTTGTCAGAATGCTACCCTTCTCGATTCTCGTCTTAATTTAAGGCTGAGATGTCACGAACTGGCAACCCAATCAGTTCCGTTTGACACGTTCTTTTATTAGTTGTCGTGTAAATTAATTTTCGAAGCTAACATTAACAGCCAGCAAAATTAAAACATGCTCATTAATTTTGACTTCCCTTCAGTTTCAGTTTCATTTGTTAACTCTAATTGCCTTTAATACAGCTAGCCACTAATTGCATTGAATTTCTTAGCATCTGCCAAAACGGCCCGGAACGTTGAAAAGTTCTCGGTTAAATATCACCCCAAAGAAATTAAAAGATATTAGTCATCATGTTTTGTTTTTGTTATTGTACGTTGGATTGTGCGATTGAAGCATGAGCAGCATTATGATATGAGCAGACTCAGTTAATTTCAAAGTAATATTTTACCTAACTTCAATTTAGTGGATATTCTTAGTTTGGCATGTTTTTAATAATATTTTAAGTGATATTTTTCCTAGTGAAACTCTATCTTAGCTGCCAATTTTTGTTTCACTGTTTAATATGGACCTTTTGGAATAAGGCCGTTTTTTACTTTAAAACGTTTAGTGAGTTCTCTCCTTCAAAAAAGGTTCATGGGCCTAACACGTTCACTTGTTGGGCGCCTTTGAAATGACAAGAATATTACTCAATTAAAGGATCCACCCTGATACTACATGCACGTTTTCCTACTAGCGCGCGCGTATATATAGGAAAGTACTTACTTACAGTTACAACATGTAGTTAGTATACCAGAAAAAAAATCTCGATTTGCTTAAACAGGGGCCACGATGAATCGATGGACGATTACTGTACCCTGCGAGCAGAGGTTACATCAATTTTTTTCAGTTTGCAGTTATAGTTTGTTTATTGGGCAGCTCACACCGCGAAAATGTAGACTCTGCTCGTAAGGTAGACGATTACAGAAATTTCCCGAAATTGTTTGCTGAAACTAGACTAGAATGCGTGTGAAAAAATTCTCGAAACGCCGAGCTGAGGGTGTTTGTTTTGATCAACGCTGCGCAATGATCGACCTGACTCAGTGCATGGAATCTTGCGTTTTCTGCTTTTATTTCAGCTATTGTATGTTTTATGTGTGAAAACCCTCAATACGAATCGGTATATTTCAAAGAGCTACACAAAAAACAAAGCTACTATGACCGAGAAAATACAGAGTGGGGGCAGCTGTAGTGTCAACTATTACTAAACTCCCCATAATCAAGTGTTTTAATTTATAGATTTAGCCAGGGCTAAAAGCGAAGCTCTCTTTAATATTTAAAGTTTCCTCAAAGAAAATATAAAATCAACTAATACTAAAGACAAGGTAAAAAACAACAACAATGGATCTAATTAGCCAGAAACAACTTTACACGTGCGGAACACTTTTTGTTCTCATTAGCCAGGCACGTGCAGCACACTTTTTGTACATTTCCTCGCCGTTGTTTTGCACGACTAAAGCGTGAAACTTCTTTTAACTTCCTATTTACACGTTTTATGGAGAAAATATTTGGGCTCCTGTTTACTCTGTTTTTTCACTCCCGCTCATTTTCACCTTGGTAGCTGCTAGCATTTCTCATTTTCTCACTGCCGCTGTGTATAATTCTCATCTTTTTCTTCCAACGAAATTGGTCTCCATTGTTATTTATTTCTCGCTCCAGCTGTTTTCTTAATATCCAGGTTAATGTAGACATTAAAATTTAGTGGAAAGAAAGTCTTTTTTTTTTGCTTGTTTGTTTTTTTCTCTTCAAAAGTCCGGTCGGCCATGTGTTTTACCACCGAAACGAGCAGGGGTGCTTTAAATGCAAAATTTTACCCCAGCTATAACATACTCCTCCCCCGAAGGGCCGACTCCTGACTCCCTTCCCCCTCTCCCAGAGTCTGTAGGGTCAACGTTCGGTCGTCATAACCAAATTTTCTTGAATGGATTGATTTCCAAATTTTCTAAGCTATGGGGCTCCGCTTAACTAATCAAGCAATGGAGAGGAGAAGTCGTTACGTCACGTTGTATAATAAAAGCTGTTATCAGTACGTCTCAAGCCCACTTTGGTGACCAGTTCATACATGTAGGTCCTAGTGGCTGAATTTGGGTAAATTTTCGTGACAGACCTCCTTTTATATTTGGCTCATGCATTGTTGCATTTTTAGGAGTGTACAAAATCATTGTGGTAGAGAAATGTGGTCACCCACCCTCCCTTCGGCTGGGCGGGTCACCCTTCAAGCGAGAGGCTAACTTTTTGTTTCTCACGTAAACAGTTCACCACATTTTGTAAGGAAATGTCCCTTCTACCCATGACAATTTGTCTCCATAGAAATAGGGCCATTATATAGGAAAGGAGCAGCTGCTTGTGTCTACATCAAGGCCTGTGACTACCCACATGGCTACACCCAGCTGCATCACAACCTTGCATCAACTGAACTGAACAACCATCAGATAGCCTGAGAAAACAGCCGACATTTTTCAACATCACCACTGGTTTCCCTGTGAAATGACGTCTGAGAAATGACTGCAGAAATTTCATACTGTTGAGGTGCCAATACCCAGTTCTGGGCAGTGCTTCTGATTGGTCGAGAACCAAGGGAAAATTGCAATCAGAAGCACTATTCAGATCTGGGTAGTGACACAGGACGTCGCCAGTATGAAATTTCTGCAGTCACTTCCAAACGTCATTTTAGGAAGAAATCAGTGGTGGCGTCCCCAAATTTTGGCTGCTTTCTCAAGCGACCATTGAGATTGTTGTCGCAAATCAAAATCTTGACTATAGAAGCCAAGGAAAAGGTCTCAAGTTAAACTGGATTCCACAACACTAGACAACTTGGGTTGACTACCATACACAGAACTCACTTTAATTTTAAAGTTTCAAAGTCAGTTGGTTAAACAACTGACGGCAAAGAACGTACAATAATGAACAAAAGCTACAACCGAAAGTTACTTTATACTTAAGGCTGGTTTAACACAGCAGCAAGCTAATCATAAGTACCTTTTGTTACCTAATTAACAGGCATTCTTCATAACAGTTGACCTGCGCCATTTTAAAGCAGCTCTGTGACTGGTCTGCAATGAGTACCTCTGTTTCGAATGTTTGCCCTTGCCCAGAGCGGGGGGCAAGCGCCCGAAACCAGGGCGGATATACCTTTATGGGCCCTGCTCCAAACATCAGCTTTCAAAGAGTCTTCTCGTTGGTGACTTGATTTTATAAACTCAATGGATGAAACTTTTTTTTGTGAGTCGGTCTCTCTCACCGATGCAGTACCACAGATTGTGTTGAAACTATAAATTCCTTCAACCACATTATCATTTTAAACTGAACCAACGAATCACAGAGATGCACATTTTCATGCGCATTTTATGAGGAAAAAACATTCCTTTGAACTCGATAACCAACCAAAGGGCCGCTTTGGATTTGTGCAGGGCATCGCGTGAATGCATTTTCTTAGGCATTGGGTTAAAAAAGGCATAACACTTTATATAAGCCGTCCACAAAAGTGTTGATGCACACACGCGCGAGTCCACCTGGTCTCGATTTCTTCGATCGTTCAAGCAGTCTGCGCTAGGTCCGTGCGTGATTTAATGCCTGTTGCCGAAATGAAGAAATGTTCATGTCTCCCCGCATTGCTGAAGTCCCTTATTAAACTCTCCACCTGGCGGACATTTGCGTGTGTACTGACTCTTACAAAAAACGCAGTTATAGGCCACTTACGAGTTCCAAAAACCCTCACTTTCAAAATGAGGCCCAGTGCACAAGTTTTCTTGTGAAAATGAGTGTTTTTTGCATAAATCATTTCCATATCAAAGGCTGAGCACTTAACCTCGTTTTTATACAGAGGCCCAGGTAACTCAAAAATTAAATGGCCTTTTGCGAACTACAAACCTTGAATTACCTTTATTAAAATGCCTACACAATTTCCTATTACATTATGCAATATACGTAGCTAAGAAATATTGTATAGTAATGAACAAGTTTCAAAGTGTCGAAGCTTCAACTCTTGGGCTCAGTGGGGTTGCAAGATTCCATTTTGTTCTTTGCTTTTTTCTATTCTAATTTTTCTCAGACAGGAACTGAGCCTGAAAGCTGAAGCAAAAGACACTGCAAATTCCAACTATAAAATGGAAACAAAATTTATCGTAGTGCTGGCTGTACATCCCAACCGGCTGTGAGGCTGACCGGTTGACTATTTACATACCGTACTTGTTCGAATAAGCGCCCAACCTCGAATTAGCGCCCGCCTCGAATGAGCGCCTATCCTAAAGGCAGAAAAAGTTATTAAGTGCCCAACCTCAAATAAGCCACCACCTAACATCCATCCAGCAAGCTGTATCTGCTTCTCGGGCACTTAACCCATTTGCCGGCTTTACGATTTCGGACATCCAGGAGGCAGCACCAGAGAACTCACTTACTGACTTCCCTAAAGACGGAGTTTTCTTCAGAGTAGTTTACAGAAACCTTGCTTTCATTTTGTTTTGTTACAAAATAAACATTACTACAGTTGCTGAAAATGGTGAAAATTTTTAAAATAAACGCCCACGCTCAAGGTCCAAAAATTTAATAAGCGCTCAGGGCGGTTAATCGAATAAATACGGTACACCTTTTTTATATTTGGATCAAGATGACGAGATTGAATGGGGACCCTCCATGTAAGAACGCCTAATTTTGACCTGAGACTGAGCCAAGACTGAACTTGCTTATTTTTGAGGCAATTTGAGCCTCAAAACGTTCTTAGATGTTTTTAAATTACATTTTGAAAACATTGTATGGACGACTTTTAATTTCCTCGTGTTTTGAGAGGCTAAGAGTGACCTCAGGAGAGGCAACAGTGCACACAATGTTCAGCCAAACACGTACAGCAGTCTTTATAGCAATTTTTCTATATTCCTCACGTTGAAATTGGAGGAATCGACAATGTTCGAGACTGAACTTCAGCCTTGGCTTTGCTCTGCTATTAGGATATTCTTAAAAAGGTTTCTATAAAACAGGAGTAAGTGTGGCTTAGCACCAGGACGCCGAGGACTGATCAGGAATGTAATTAGTTCAGCCAGGAATTAACACAGGACCAGTTCATGAGCTTTGGCCCTGCTCTTTACTACTAATTTCTACATCAAGCGCACAAATTTCCCTTACTTTTTCGTTGGCAGAAGTACCTAGGATTCTTTTCCTAAAAAAGCGAGCTGCAGAATAAAACGCCACTGGAATAAAGCATGCTGTACAGTCTCTAACGTCCTGTAAATCTATCCACGCTGCCTCGTTAAGCCTTGAGACTTAAGGTTCCTAACACTAGAAGTGATATACAATTAAGCTGTTTACAGTTGCTTTTTCTATCCCTGGTTTTCTTTTGTTCGAACACCGTGTTTTCACGTCAACTTAAATATGACCTGAATTTTCATATTTCAGTCAAACGCGATCAGGTGACATTAAAAATGCCGACTAACGAAATTTACTTTTCTGGTAAAAACCATGGGCTAACAAAAGAGAATTAAACTAATGAGTGTCATCAGTCAACTAACATGCCGTAAAGTTGGAAAAGTATTTTTCTATAAAGCTGAGAAAACAGCCGATGTTTCGCGGGGCCATTGATGGTTTCCCCACGTATTTTATGGTGTTCAAGAACCTTGCTTAACCTTACTTAACCCGTTAAGCCCCAATATCCACATACAAATTCTCCAAACTGATCTCTATATATTTCCTTAAAGAATGAGTTAAGAGAATTTGACAAAAGATCAAAGCATTTTCTGTTAGGTGATTATTTTATTAATTCTCATAACCTAGTCTCTTGACAATGTAGGGATATCATTGGGAAAAGATTGATGTTGGTCACTATTGGGACTTAAAGGGTTCAGGTAAGTGGTTGTTTGCCTCTAGGAAAATCAAAATAAACCCAGTAGCGGATCCAGAGGGAGGGGACTTAATGACTTAAAATTAACGAAATCTGGACAAAAGTATATTCTATCACTTAACTCAAGAGACGAATGCTGCTTCAAAGCTGGGCACTGCACGATTAGAATATCGCGTATCATGGAAGCAAGGTTCTTCGCAGTAGAAAGGAATGTGTAACGGTTTGAAATGATGTACTAACGAAGTAAGTTATTGGGTTCACCAGTGTGCACAAGTTGGATCCCCGTTATTAAAATTTTCTGGATCCGCCTCTGAAATCAATCATAGAGTGGTGAGTGCATCCTTTCCCACTTTGCACTCGTTGCGGGCGTTCAGAAAAAATTGTAAGTTTTTGATGTGTTCCTTCTTAGAGCTTTTTGAGTTCTTTGTGCCCGCCGTGATAACATAACAGATACAAGAGAGAACTGAATGAAAAATGCTGACATTTTTAAAATCCCTTATATATTTGCGAGTGATATAACTCAGGGGCACTTAACGACTGTTTCATGTAAAATATCTGTTCGGAGAAGCAAATATTGACGAGAATTTTCTATTTCTTGATGACGGCTAAAAAATTTCTAGATGACCGTTCCATTCACGTACAATTTTCGAAGCTTATCTCATTAATTTCCTACGATTTCCTAAAGTTCAAGTTTCACATTTTACCTCCCAAGTTAGGCTATTTTTCGTAGAAAAAAGGAAACCTAAAATTTTCGGATTCAAAAATGTGATGGAGAGAAGAATTAGAAAATGTCTCACTTTCGTATTACGTCAAATTTCATCTAAAATTTTGGGAAATTAATACTCAAGCCCTTCGTGTAATTTCGAGAAGACTCAAGTCTCCCTAGGATGGCCGAATAGATACAAATCTCACAGCGCCGCTTAAAATGCTTCTAAACGGTACTCTGGATAGCCTAGAAGTGTTTCAATGTATTTAGAAGGAAACCGTCGTTGGGTGCCCCTGATAACTGTCTACTGAAAGGCGGACCATTACCAAGGTATATGAAAGATACTGGAATGTTCGATACGATATCAATAGTGTCATTCTCAAGTATCGACACTTTTCAGGCAAATCTGGTTTGGTATCGGTACATCTTTCAAAATTACGTTTACCTTTTAATTTATACCTTGCGAATCAGAGTGCTAATAAAAAGACACCATCTCTCTCATTGCTTCAATGAGGTTTTTCTATCACCGTTATCTGATAATAGTAAGCAGCAGCTCTGTTTCTCTTGGCGTGTTATCTATGCTGGTGCTACTATTAATGTTACCTGTCTTACCTACCCACAGAGACCCTAAAGTGAAAGAAGAAGGCTTGGTCCCCAGCGGAGCGGACGGATAAGGGCGCGAGCGATGATGGGAAGTATAGAAGAGGAAAAACTGGATCGAAGGATGCGGAGAAGCTCAAATTGCGTTACATTAAAGTCATATCATCATAAACAAACAAACAACAACAATGAAAAGCACAAAGTCAAAAGCTCAGGATACAGTTCTTTATGTGGTTGTTTCATAGAATACTTCGATATCTGTTGGCGTGAATCGGTGGCTTCCAGCATAGAATTTACAGTCAAAACCAGATAAAGAATACCCTGGGGGGAGGGGGTATCTCCTGCCACAAAAAGTAACAGAATCCTGGTTACTAGCAGCGTTGTTTGATATGGCAATATCACTCCAGCCAAATCTTGGTCCCCATGAATCACACCTGTATACAGCTGTGTTGTACATATCAGGCTTGACTCGCAGCTTAACAGGATTGTACACAGCGTGTCCAAAACCATTGTTATTGGTCAGTGAGTAGATAAAGGCTTTACTTGAATATCCATACTGACAACCATCAACTGTGAAATAATGACGACATTTTTTACAATTCTTACTGACCTTACTAAAGGCGCTCATAAAAAATTAACTTTTAGGAATATTCAATGACCCGGACTTCAGTTTAAAATAGTGAATGCAAGTCCGGCTTGACATACAAACATCCCTAGACAATCCATGCATTACTGTATTTTTAAAAATTTGCTGTATTTGTATAAATTTTTCAAAGTTCCTAAAAATGTGTCATGAGCCACACATCCATTTGTTGTCTTGCTGAGTACAGTAATGACACTGTAGTAACTTTGAAATTAGTGGGGCAGGAGAAAATTATTCTAGAAAATTAGGCAGTTTTAGAAGTGTAACAAACTTCCATGATGAGGAGAAAGGGAGCTCTCCCTAAACTGGAATCCCTCAGTGTTGGTAGAAAAGAGCAGGGTTTTTGTCCCGAAAAGAGATTTATGCAAACTAGAATGGTAACTGAATTCAGATCTATCAAATCATGACAGAGCCTGAAACCTACTTGAAGTCCATAAAATACAAATGACAGATGGTATCACACATGTATCTGATACATTTTTTTTCAACCTCTCTATGGCTGAACCACTTGATTCTGTGTTTCATTTAGCTTTTAAAGGTAATTTTGGTCATGAATGTTCATGAATGTGACTACAACATTAGCTTTTTACAATGGAAAATATTTCCTTTTTATCCTTCTGATTACCGTGACCCGGGGGTAGTTCGTCATTAAAAAGAGTCCGCAGTGCATAGTTAGAGAACTTTAAAGATAATTCAGTAAAATTAGGCTGGGCGGACCAGAGGCCTCCTCTCCTGTAGAGTGGCCCCTTAATAGGTTTTTGTAAGGACAGGGCGAAACCAAATTTTGCAAGATTTTGCTTATTGATGTTGTGATTTAAAGCTCAAATCAACGATAAAAAAGTAACTTGACGTTTCGATGGTTTCATGTCATCATTATCAAAAGATAGAGCGGTTTTCACTTGACTGTCGAAAGGGATTGGTTTTGGTTTTGGTTTTGGTTTTACTACGCCCTTTGGTTGGCTAGTGTATTTACTTTGGTTTTGGTTTTACGACAGTCAAGTGAAAACCGTTCTATGAAATTAACATGATTCGTGGAAGTATTTACTCTCTTTGATAACGATGACATGAAGATAAGCTTCTTTTTTATCATTGACTTTTGTTTTAAGAGCGAATGCACAGAAAAATCGAGCAAACCGTGGCCACAGCTCAAAACCTAACCTACCCTCATTTTCAGTCTGTAATAAGGTTTTAATGAGTTTATAACACTGCCGAGGTTTAAATTTCAAAATGCGGCCGAATTTGGGAATTATTTGAGATTTTCGATTTCAACGGTTTGCGGGCCTAAAATTAGCCGCCGAACACGGCAATATAGCCTAGCGACAGAGATGAGCTGACTTTCATAAACGAGCGAATATATTGGCAATCTTCCACTTAAATGTCAAAAAACAGCTATTAACAATTTCTAAACAGCACATTTTTTTAGATTTAGAGAGTAAAATATCGACGAACGAGCACAATTTTGAAACGTAATTTGCATAATGCATATAAATACAACAATTTACCGCTAAAACCAAAATCGAATTTTCTATATGGGGGAATTCTCCAAATCACCCCAAATCCCGCTTACTACCCAATAAGATATAGTACTTCAACATTATCTGAAAGTTAGTCTGGTGTTCTTGCGAACGCTTGTAAAATAGATTGATTATTTTGAGGTTATTTTGCCCCAAACAACCGCTAATTGACCCCAGGGTCAATTGACACGTGCACGTCACCTTAGTTTTATGCATCGATTTGAGCTCGTTAAAAGGGAGAAACTGACAAGATTCTTTTAATATGTACCTGTTTTAATGAAATACACGCAATCTTCAAAAGGAGAGGCCGTTCAATGGGTAATTTCTGTTCTTGAGATCTTGTAGATTGTACCATGGCGTCTGCGAGTGGACCTGAGTCTAGGTCTTTTTTCCCGTGACTGCGAAATCAGAATAACATCATGAAATAATTCTCGCTCGAACCTTCGTAAATGAATCAGCTTTGCAGTGCCTTACCTGAGATAAAAAGTGGGCCGAATAGGAAAACATTCTAGCGCAATTTGGATCCTTTGCAGCACGTAGTGTATTTGCTAAGCGGCGATGGTATCAATGACTGTTAATTAGTTACTCACCTCCGATTGCGTGACCAGGCAATTATCGATTGTCTCCTGCGAAAAAGAAGTGCACGGGAAACCAAAGCTTTCGGGATACATTAAATTCATTTTCCTGTATGACCAGGTGTCCTTTTGTCCTATTTTAAAAGCGATTAACTAAGATGATTAGCAAACATACTGTCCCACTTTTAAAGATGGTACAGTAACTGAATGTTCTGTTCTTCTGATTTTACCCCCAACCCCGGAGTGTTCAGAAGATATATTTGCGCTACGCATGAAAGGCAAATGGATTAAATTTTGAGGTTCACGGCGGTTTTAAGGCATGGGTTACCAGTGGATTAGTCAGACTTGTCATAAGGTGCATTGAACAGAAAATTACAGGCATGATATCTCTGCTATTGTATGTCCATAAGTGATTTTCCAGCAAACATTTTTTGACTTTTTTTACCCCAAAAGTTTTTTCCGTGCAATTCTTATCTGTGAGATCTAAACTTAGTTAAATTTCTGTAATTTGTTGTTAAATGCAATTCTGCAAACAACTAAGTATTTAATTTTGCGTAAAAGCTACATGAAATTGTACTGTTTAGCCGTAAATCATTAAAAAGAGAAAGCATCATGCTTTCTCTTTTCAAGTCTAGTAGGACTTAAGCAATGGCATTTCTTAAGTCCTAGTAGTTGTTCTCCATGTCTGCTAAGGAGGAAATAGTTTGCTCTTTTCAAGAAATTGTTCTTGCCCATTGCGGTTTCAAACCAAGGATAGCAGCAAGTCTGTCGTGGTCATATACTGCTACTTCAGTGCAAACGAAGCATAGGCGCACAAGTCAGCGCTTGCGTTTAGTCAGGTGCCGAAAATGAAGTGGAAACTTAACCCCAAGGGCGTCAATGTTCGCTCCGGCTCGAAAAGGTACAATCAGTTGTGCAGTAAAAAGTAATGCGAAAAACCTGCGGGAGCTGGGGAAAGAAAGGCGTCCTATTTTTCTTTGGCTTGTTCTATTTTCGCGACGTGGTACAGGCTACGAAATACTGACAAGCTCAGCATATGTCTTCACCACTGAGAGTCACTTGCCCTTAGCCGGACACGCCCCTCACGTATCATGTTTCGTTCCTAAAGTTATTTCAAAGCACACGGGAACCAAACCTAATCAGCGGCGGAAGGCAGAAAGGGGGATGAGCAAACGGATGTCACAGCATATTTTGCAAGAAACTGGTATCCTTTTGCCTATCGGCTCAGGAACGATTGATTACTACTGGAATTAATGGGCGCGATCCATTCAACCAAAATTCCAACCGGTCCGACCTGGAAAAGAGGACCACCTCAAAAGGTGGACCCGTTTTTTCGAAACTTTTCCGGTTGGACCGAACCGATCCATTGAGTTTTGGACCGAAATTTCCGGAAAGTTTGGTTGAATGGATCGCGCCCAATATCAGGGTCAGAATTTGGGTGCTACAATGGGAGGGAAGGAAGAAAACCGTCGCGCACACCTGTTAAGTCTTTTATAAACTTTCTCGTCCTGACGGTTTCATGGAAGGGCGTTGTGGCTGCTATTCAATTTACAGTGTTTGTTGCAGGTGTCGAATTAATCTTACAGCAACTGGAAACGTGGCCACGCCTGCTGAAACTGAGATTGCTTGTAGGATGAACGGCTATTGTTTGATATATTCACGAGCGCGTTTTGTCCAGTGGACTAAGTACGTAGTTTTTCTTAACGAAGGGATGGGGTGGGTCAAGTGAGTAGTTCGGGGAACGTTTGCTCTCTTTAGGGGGGGTATATTTGTTGATATCAGGAGTTCTGGCCTGGATAGAGTGTTTGTAAAGATATTTTTGCTTCGGAGTATCGGTTTACCGGACGCTGAGCAAGAAAAAGTCAGTGGTGCATTTATGGAATAATAATAGAGATTCTCATGGTCTAACAGAGCGAAGATTAGACTTCTGGTAAGGTGGCAACGATCAAGGCCCGCATTATAATTCATGATAATTGAAGGTCATAATGTGGAAAAAGCGACTGAAATGGTGGATGCCATGCAATCCTCTCGGGTGGGGGCGGCGTACCTGGCCTTAACGGTTGCCCCTGCGACAGAAGGCAAGCATGTTCAGATTATCCACGGGTTGCTAAATGAGACCGTCCCTTTCTTAGTACCCGTTCCCTTATAATTAGACTCGGGCAAATTTCTCGAGATTGCACCATCATTTTGGGCTTAAAGCTTCCAAAGTCAAACAATAACAGGGCATGTTCGCGACGGTTTTTTAAGTCAGTCAAGTTCTTAAACCAGGCCTTAAACGGCCAGTTTTAAGTGTCGATAACAGTTAAAAAGGCATATAAGCCTCATGCAAAAGACAGTGGGAAGGAAGTGCACATCGGTGATGGGGAAAAAGGAGTAGCCCACAGTTACTTAGGGGTGGATCTTTCGAAACATTCTTTATATACTCTTGGACACATATGCATTGTTTAAAGTTTCAGACAAACCAGCTGTAAATTTATAGTAACAAACTGTTAAATATACATCAGCAAGATTTTTGCGAATCCTATTTTTCGCTGGAGACTATCGTTTACTGGCTGGTCACGCAATCAAAGGTAACGTACTTTCCCACGTTTGTTTACTCACCTTTCGCTCAGCAATACACTGCGTTCCACAAAGGATCCACATTACGCTAGAAATGTTTTCCTATTCGGGCCACTTTTTATCTCAGGTAAGGCACTGCAAAGATGATTCACTTACGAAGATTCGAGGGAGAATTATTTCTTGATGTTATTCTGATTTCGCAGTCACGGGAAAACAGACCTAGACTCAGGTCCACTCGCAGACGCCATGCTGCAATCTACAAGATCTCAAGAACAGAAATTACCCATTGAACGGCCTCTCCTTTTGAAGATTGCGTGCATTTCATTAAAACAGGTACATATTAAAAGAATCTTGTTAGTTTCTCCCTTTTAACGAGCTCAAATCGATGCATAAAACTAAGGTGACGTGCACGTGTCAATTGACCCTGGGGTCAATTAGCGGTTGTTTGGGGCAAAATAACCTCAAAATAATCAATCTATTTTACAAGCGTTCGCAAGAACACCAGACTAACTTTCAGATAATGTTGAAGTACTATATCTCATTGGGTAGTAACCGGGATTTGGGGTGATTTGGAGAATTCCCCCATATAGAAAATTCGATTTTGGTTTTAGCGGTAAATTGTTGTATTTATAAGCATTATGCAAATTACGTTTCAAAATTCTGCTGGTTCGTCGATATTTTATACTCTAAATCTAAAAAATGTGCCGTTCAGAAATTGTTAGATATCTGCTTTTTGAGATTTAAGTGGAAGATTGCCAATATATTCGCTCGTTTATGAAAGTCAGCTCATCTCTGTCGCTAGGCTATATTGCCTTGTTCGGCGGCTAATTTCAGGCCCGCAGACCGTTTAAATCGAAAATCTCACATAATTCCCAAACTCGGCCGCATTTTGAAATTTAAACCTCGGCAGTGTTATAAACTCATTAAAACCTTATTACAGACTGAAAATGAGGGTAAGTTAGGTTTTGAGCTGTGGCCACGATTTGCCGATTTTGCTCGATTTTTCTGTGCATTCGCTCTTAAAATGTATTTCAAAATCGATTCTTAAAAGATTTAAACCTGACCGGGATAATTTAATTTAGTATATACTAAAACAGTGGATAGCGTTTTTCGCGCGCTCTGATTGGCTACTGAATCAGTGAATATCCTGCATTATTCACTGATTCACCTCCAGTTCCTCCGAGCGAGTGACGCCAGACTCGCGTAAGTTGCGAGCAAAATGCGTTCCCGGTTTGCTGCCGTAAACAAACAAAGAAATTTCACAACTAATCAAGCAAGCTGTTTCCGAAATACACGAAGAAGGTGACGAAGTTCGGATTGGAAGTTTTAACAGGTAAAGCTTTGTCTTTTTGACACGAATTTATCGATAAAACCGGTGAAAAAGTTTTTTGTTTACAAATGCAAATTAAGTTTAAGTCTTGCGTTACTGTATTTAGTTGAGTTGTTCATAAATAAGCTTAAAGCTAAATTTAATAATCTTTTTTTATAAAATGATTTTAAATACAAAAAGAATTCACAACTCCTTTTGAAGAAATTTCCCCGCAAGAGCTAAAGAAATGCCTTCAAAAGTTTTAATTGTCGGCAAGAAAAAGCGACGGCCGCGGTCGCCTGGTCATTACGCGCCAAAATTGTAATCGTTGGCAACAGTATTTGAGTTAAAAATCATCCCTTTTGTGCTCAATTATCTCACTGTTTTAGTATATACTAAAACAATTATTCACCTCAGTGTCGGTGGCTAGTCGTGGATATTTACCTCACTGCTTCGCAGTTCGGTAAATACCATGACTAGCCAACTCCACTTCGGTGAATAATTGCTATTTAGTATATACTAAAACAGTGGATAGTGTTTTTCGCGCGCTCTGATTGGCTACTCCATCAATGAATATCCTGCACTATTCACTGATTCACCTCCAGTTCCTCCGAGCGAGTGACGCCAACCTCGCGTAAGTTGCGAGCAAAATGCCTTCCCGGTTTGCTGCCGTAAACAAACAAAGAAATTTCACAACTAGTCAAGCAAGCTGTTTCCGAAATACACGAAGGTGACGAAGTTCGGATTGGAAGTTTTAACAGGTAAAGCTTTGTCTTTTTGACACGAATTTACTTTATTTAGTTGACTTGTTCATAAATAAGCTTAAAACTAAATTTAATAATCTTTTTTTATAGAATGATTTTAAATATAAAAAGAATTCACAACTCCTTTTGAAGACATTTCCCCGCAAGAGCTAAACAAATGCCTTCAAAAGTTTTAATTGTCGACAAGAAAAAGCGACAGCCGCGGCCGCCCGGTCATTACGCGCCAAAATTGTAATCGTTGGCAACAGTATTTGAGTTAAAAATCATCATTTTTGTCCTCAATTATCTCACTGTTTTAGTATATACTAAAACAATTATTCACCTCAGTGTCGGTGGCTAGTCGCGGATAGCCACCTCCACTTCGGTGAATAATTGTTATTTAAATGGTGAATTAGAGAAAAACCATTTTCTGGTAGTTGTATCAAGTGACGTCATCATGAAAATGACCAATTCTGATTGCTAAGGAATTACTTTCTCGCCTTGAGTTGTAGGTAAGCAGAAAAACATCCCTCCCTTTTTTAACAGTAAATGTACTCAAGCCAAAAGCCGCTGTACCACTTTATCGTTCTTCAATGTTAGCAAACCAAAAAAAGACAAGTCCTAATTCTCCTGGTACGTGTACTCACCAGGAACTTTCCATGATACGTCACTGTATCCACCAGATATAAAACTGCCGACTTGAATGATAGTTACAGTAGGTCCCTTGTCATCACAGTTGCCGTGGAACGTAGACGCCGCCCAGCCGTCCTCTTTAGCGTGCCAACACCTCACAAACCTACTACGGACTGAGCTATTGATCACGGGCTCTAAAAACAACTTCAAATTCTCCAAGTACCTACTGTCGTTGCCAAGAATACTTGATGCACTAAGACCACCTTAAAAAAGAAATCGTGAAATATAGTGCTTGATGGGACAATTTTATTAGTGAAACAGACTGGCGATTTAAAATTTTCGCGTGAGTCGAAGATCGCTTTACAAATTAGCTGACGAACTGAGAGTGAATCCGGATACGTGTGGACGGGCAAATTCGATTTGAATACGGATACGTGTGGACGTGCAAATTTTTGAATCCGCAAAGAAAAATTTGCGGATTCAAAAATACCCGGATACGTCTGGACGGGGGCTAAAGGTACGATCGCATTGCCATTTCGATAAAGTTTGACAACGTTACTCGTGCAACAATGGCAAGCAAAATTGCCAAAAAGTGTGCTGCACGTTCAGGTATTTTTTTCTGTTTATCAGTCAAACCTGTTGCATGCTTAAGCTTTTTTTCATTTTCACGTTACATTGCCGTCATTGTGGTTGTTCGAGCTCCCTAGTAGCGTTACCATGCAAAACAACTATTGATATGCGACGATTTGGTTGAAAAGCCGACGATTTGATGAGAAAAGGGCGACGAAAACGACGTCCGCAGTTACTCGCCGAGAGGCTCGTATATGAAAACAGTTACATTTATTATCATAAATGCTTGCAACAATTCTTACTAAATACTGCGGCTCATTTGCTTTCAAGAATCCTCCAAGTGAACTTGAGCTCTGCGTTTAGGTTCCTTACTTCTTTTGCATATATGCAGTCACTAATCCAAAACTGCTCTACCGTTAGAAAGCCCGCCTGTAATCTTTCCCGGGTAAATTACGAACCAACAGTTGCTCTAAGCCTCTATTTCCAAGCGAGGCTAAGTGCGATATGAAAATGATTTTTTATTATCATGCAAATAAAAGTCATTTTCACAAGAAAGATTTTGCACTCAACCCTGCTTCCCTAAGATCGCTGAGATCGAGCACTTAGTGCTTTAGCAGGGGACCATCTTGGTTTTTTAAGCCGTGTAAGTGTAATTAGGGAAAGAGTATCAAAGGGAGTACTACCAAAGGGAGCTATAAGCCCCGACTCTATAAAGGCGTGTCAATGAGAATGACCGAGACTAGGTTTTATGAGCCCGCGAGACTGGGCTTTCCACCTAAACCCTTGTTTTTACTAAAACCACTGGACGCCACAACTTTGGGTCAATTTAATAAAACTCATAGCTATTGTTTTAGAGTCTGAGAACAAAAGCTATACTTGTAAATTACACGAGTAAAAGTTTTATTAAATTGACCCCAGCGCCTGTTGAGGTCATTGTTATCCAAGGTCTTCCCAAATTTTTACCTTCACAAAAGCGCCCATTGCCTGTGTAGCCAGGCCTGTACGTGCAGTTATATGAGCCAGGAATGTTGGTACAGTTCGCATTTACGCCACACTGATGAGTTTTATCCTTGCATTCGTCCAGGTCTAAAAAAAAGAAAAGAAAACAATACAAGCAACCAACCTCGTACATCGTTTATAAACCTAGACATTCAACGCAAGAAAATAATCAATTTTGTAGCACACTGATTGCTTCAGGGAAGACTGATTGTTTCACTCATTGAGAGAAGAGCAAGCATAAATCCTGGGGGGTACCCCCTGTAATGGCTTATACGGGGAAGCTTCGCCCGAATTGCAAAAGGGGTACCTTTTCCAGACTTCAGGTGGATGAAAGGGTTAGGATTTTAACAGTTGAAGTATGTGAGAGGGTGGAGAAATCTGTCTCATTTCGTTCTGTAAAAGCACCTAAAAGGGCAGAGTAACAGAAGGATTTTATGGCTGTGAAAAAGTCCAGACAATTTCCTGGTTTTTTGATTTATTCACAGTTTAAAGACAGTACACTGACAGCAGCTAAAAGTAATGCAAAGTTCCAAACTGGGTATTTGAAAGGGGTACCATTTGTCAATGGAAGGTACTCATGGGTAAGGGAGGGGTATCTTTTCTCTCAAAAGAAATATATAGAAAGGTAAGGAGCTGGACCTCAAAGCGGAACTTCACAAGATAAAACTTTGCTGCGGAATTCCTCCTCCCCGGGGGCACAGATGTTTTCTATCCCAGACCACAGGCATTCGCAAAAGAACCTCTTGTCCGTATATCCCAAACAACACTTTTCATTGTTCAAGTCTGTAACAGGTGACCATCTTGGTTTTAAGTGTAAGAATAACTATGGAAAGAGTATCAACGAGAGTACTACCAAACGAACCTATAAGCCCCGACTCTTTAAAGGCGCATCATAAAAATTAACCGGCAAATTTCTACCTTTACAAATGCTCCCATTGCCTGTGTAGCTAGGCCTGCATGTGCAGTTATAAGAGCCGGGTGTATTTGTACAGTTCGCATTTATGTGGCAATCATGGCTTCTTTTTTCGCATTCATCGATGTCTGAATAAGAAAAAGAAAAAAGAAATGAATATAAATGAAATCTTATCACGACACTTATCAGCAAGTTTTGCCATTACAAATGCTCCCACTGCCTTGGTAGCCATGCCTGCACGTGCAGTAGTAAGAGCCAGAAATGTTGGTACAGTTCGCATTTATGTGACAGTCATGACTTCCATCCTAGCCTGCATAGCAGACCCTTGGAAGTAGTGAGCGCAAGAAAGATTAGGGGTCACCACCCGTTTTTTTCTTGCTCCCAAATACTTCCCTGCGTAAGATAATAATCAATTTTGTAGCGTGCTAATTGCTTCAGGGAAGACTGATTGTTTCACTCATTGCGAGAAGAGCAAGCATAAATCCCGGGGGGTACCCCCTATAATGGCTTATATAATGGCTTATATAATGGCTGCGAAAGGGGTACCTTTTCCAGACTTCAGGTGTATAAAAGGGTTAGGATTTCGATATTTGAAGTATATGAGAGGGTAGAGAAATCTGTCTCATTTCTGTCTGTAAAAGGACCTAAAAGGGCTAACAGAAGGATTTTATGGCTGTGAAAAAGTCGAGACAATTTCCTGGCCAGTTTTGTGATTTACAGCAGCTAAAAGTAATGAAAAGTTCTAAACTAGGTATTTGAAAGGGATACCATTTGTCAGTGGAAGGTACTGGGTAAGGGAGGGGTACCTTTTCTCTCAAAAAATATTATATAGAAGGGTAAGGAGCTGGACCTCAAGGTAACCTGAGACCAGGCCCAATTTTAGCGGTTCTCATACATTCTCTCTAACGGCTACCGCTTTTTGTTTCGCCTTGCCCGCCAGAATGTTATTTTCAAAGCGAAACGAAAATAGAGCCTGATCTCAGGTTAACCTCAAGGCGGAGCTTTCCAGGATAAAACTTTGCTGCGGACACACCACCACCTGGCAGAATCTCGAAGCAACGGGCCACGGTAAGTTTCTAGTTTACTAGCTGGCGATTTCGTGTATGAGAGACGTAGACGTAGACGTATTTCCAGTTTGTTTCTGCAAAAAGGATTCTTTGTGGCGCA